GCAACCACGAAGACTTGAAGGGAATGTGTCCCTCTAAGAGTGCATCAATTAGAGCAGGAAATGTAAATCAGTAATTGAACACTATAACAGAATTGACCACCTGTCCGTTTACTCTAGGCTTCAGACGATGTCTTTAAGAAGAGAACAGCAATTTTCATTACAATTTTAAAATAATTCAATAATATGTAATAGTGCACCATATCAGCATGTCCTCGGGAAAATTAATCTCATCTTTCGACACTCGAAGTTCAGTAAATTTTCTTGGGTCATTGAAAATAGGTTTTCGCTCCCACTGGCATGTTATTTGACAAATTGTTTATTAGTTATGGATTTTGGTATTACATGCGACAACTTGACTTGGTCAAATCCTTAGAGAAGCCTTGACTTCTGAGCTAATGTGCGAAAGAGATATACGAGCGTATATGCGGAAAATTAATCGTGTCTATGAGCCTTGGGGAATCCGACACTAGATGCTTCTTACTACTAAAGTGATGAAAAGGGATGACGAAACATAGTTTAAAGGCCACACTAAATGGTCCAGATTTTGTCTATACGGCTCTCTAGTTATGTATACTCAGCATACCTTAAAACTGAATGCATTCCAGGTCGAGAGACAGAGCAGGCCGAACCACGCCCTTTCCATTGGACACAATACGAATCCAACGTGCCCAATCAGTATGGGCGCCCCATAAAGCCGAGTGACATTGGTTGGACTGCCACTCTTGCCCCCTCCCCCGCTAGCTAAGGGCCTGGAGAGAGATCAACGCCACTGGACACACACTAGGCCATTTCGAGGCGTGTTACATTTTTATTTCAATAAATCGTGTAAGGCTCTTTAGCAATGGAAGGCAATTAGAGGACGGATTGGAATACTCGAAACGAGAACATATAACTTTCAATTAACGAAATAATATAATACGTTAAATAATAGTACAGGTAATCCATTAGATATAACAATCAGTGAGTCAAGGTCAATGGTAATGTACATCTGCCTTCTCCCTCGCTACACAATTTTCGAAAGAGCATAGCTTATATTTCTTTGTCTTCCATCTTTCGCGGACTAAAGAAAATTAATTAGCCTGTAAGTTCACATTTCCTTCCAAAAAAGATTGTCTTTTTTGTTTTATCAAGTTGTTGACTTTTAAGTATCTCTCAAGTGTCGTACATTGATTATTGCATGCAACCATAAATATCAATAATTATTAATAATTGCAGATTTAGAAATTGCGTAAACTGATGATTTACATAATTCAATTTATTCCAATAATTCGCTTGCTGTGCGAGGAAACCGGAGAAAACCTGCGAGGTTGGACATACGACCCTACTCCTTATCACGTACACGCGGGAAATCAAAATAAGACACTTGGCTCAATGTCGGGCCCCGTGAACTACCGCACACGCGTTAACCTTGCTTCCCCGACCGTCTGAGGTTTTAAACGAATCAAAAGCGAAACAAAGTATTAATAGAGAGTTTAAGAGTCAGCCTAAAGAGTTAATAGCGTTTCCATTCAATAAGCCAATTTTTTATCGCTGTAGTATAAAAATTGTAGACGATAAACAGATTTGAATTAAAGAACGAATTATAAATAAAGACAGACATGATTCCTGATAATAAAACGGCACCAGTTCTCTAATTATATATCATGTTTATCAAATTAATATCACAGTCTCTAGTTGTCTATTGTTTTATTAGTTTAAGTTCATGGATTGGATTGGGAAATTCCACGAAACATATTTACGAAGATCGGGTCCTACGCATAGCTAAATGAATTATATTTCTTTAAACATGTTTTAACTCAAAATTTACTGAAACAAAATGGAACAAGAAAAAGAAAAGAAAATTAAAATGGACAAATCCGATCTCTATCTACCCAAGATGAATATAAAAAATGCTACCAAAAATAGATACAAATTTCAACTTTATGATGATGTTTTCTAAATAATGTACTTTTGTTATGACTATTTTTTTAAAACACAGGACTACGTCTGAGCTATATGAATTCAGTTCATGCTCGTTTCCCTGGTGATATCGTCGATATCCCTAATATCTCCAGAAGGTACTCTCGCCTGGCCTTGCATCTACCAGGTGCGGACTGGGCCTCTGACTGTCGGACGTGGTCTGGAGCCTTCGGCCATGATTGAAAAAAAAAACTGACATTTTATTTATCTTTGATTTATGAGTGGGGTGCGAGAAAGGTGAATAAAACTTAGAGCACAGGATCGATTGTTCATCATCTACTGTAAGTTATATTTTTGACGATATTAAACTTCAACTATACTAGTTATGCTACCCTTTCAGATCTAAAGATTTCTTACCATTCCCTCAATGTTTTTTTTGTCATTCATAAGTAAAGGACGGGTTGCATACATGAATGTGGAATGTGATAGGGCCCCGACAGATCCGAAGACACAAAGCCAACTCCAGGTTAATGTGGTCCTAAATTTAGTATACTCACTACCGGGTTAAAATTTTGAATTGTCTCGTGAATTCCGCTATATATAAGTTAAGCTGTGAGAGAATTAATAACTTTAAGCTAATAATTATGTAAGTCAATTAATTACAACGAGTAGTATGCTTATAGATCAATTAAAGACTCTTACAAACCAAGAGCAGTTATGGTGCGGCATAATTAACCAATAACACCCCAAAAATTAACTGCAAGCCACAGATATCGAAGAATTCAAACAAGCTTCATGCACGTCTTTTTTGCAGTGGTTGAGCACTAACGTTTTACCCCTCAAAACGTGTCTACATAGTAGTTTTCAAACGAGAATTTACTGCTCTCTGTTACTGATAAATCTTGTCACGTAATCCTCAGGGCGATGGAGTCGTTACCGATTCCCACATTAACATAGTATAGCCTAAGAATTTTGAACATAATTTCCATCCAGGACTACTGCTAATTTAGGAACCACGGTGGCTGGGTGGTTAAGACGCTGGCTCGCTAGCCTGGAGGTCGGGTGTTTGATCCCTGCATTGGCCGAGAAAGTTCATCGGGATTTTCCGAAGTGGTTTCCCCTTGTCAGTGGTGTCTAGTCCTTCGGATGAGACGAAAAACCGAGGTCCCGTGTATACATTAAATGCAAGTAAAAGATCCCTTGGCAGTTGGAATTCGATATAAGAGTAGGCGATAATCCCGCTGCCCGGGCAAAATTTCTCTCATAGCACACTGTATGGCGTATGCCCGTCTTCATTAGCCCAGTATAGGAACAGCACAGTAGGACGTTAAACCCCATTTCATTTCATTTCACTGCTAGTTTAAACAATATTTTATTCAATAAACTAAATTGGATTGAACAACAGTCAAATGCCTTTATAAGTTCTCTCCAAACATATAAAATAGTTAAATCGTATGTTTACAATAAACAATGGTAGACATTGAGATTCTGATTTTAATTACGAAGGTTATAATTTGATACTAATGGTGTAAATATTAAAAGACTTCAGACAGATAGGTGGGTCATAGGTTATATTTTATTTTATATAGATATATTAATTTGTGTTTTATTCTGCGATTTGACAGTGATTTCCAGCCAAGTTCTTTGTAGAAATTGTTTTTAGATGAATTTCTTATAAGGCCAGTTATTATTCTACCTGCTTCACTTTGAACACTTTCTAGTAGGTCAGAATCTTTCATTGAGCGGTTATCCCATACAATATAAGCATATTCTAAAATCGGGCGAATAAAAGCAAGATATGTTTTATTAAGTGAATTTCTATTAATTTTATCTTTCAGTATACGCAAAATATTTAGACGACCGCAAGCTTTCTGGTATTTATACCCATACTTTTTCTCGACTCTTTGATGAAAATGGGAGGGTATACACCGACCGTGTATCAGTTGAAAAGTGGCCGTGTATCAGTTGAAAAGGGACAAAAATAACAAAATCATGATTTACATATTTATTTGAACATCTACAACCCGTTTTGAACATGTTATGGTAAAAGAGTCGCAATTTTCAACTGTCTCAGCCCCACTAAAAAAAGAGACGGTGTATCACCCCATACACCTTGAAAACAAGGTATATAACTATTACATATTTAAAATATGATTTGACTGAAATTTTAATCCCAAATAACTTTTGTATTTTCGAAGACAACGTCTGGATGAATTGTATTTTTCCAAGTAAAAATAATCTTATTTTTATTGGGGTTAAAAGTTACACACCACTGTTTAGCCCACGAATGAGATAATATTCAGATCTTTAGTTATGTTCGCGCTACTATTTAGAGGATCATAATGAATAATGGTAAAAAGTGAAGTATCATCGGCGAGTAGCCTTATTTTGTTAGTAATGTTATCAAAGGTATCACTTAAATAAATTAAAAATAAAAACGGACTCAGTACACTTCCTTGGGGAACTCCAGAATTGTTGTCGATTACTTAAATAGTGTTCGATCCAATTACATAGTATATTTGCTACCAATTAGCTATCAAGACAATCGATGAAATTAGAGTATATATATTGGTAATAGGTGCGTTTTGTGTTTACAGGTCAAACCGCGTAGTAAACATACACAATGATGGTTAGGTTACTGTGGCCTATTGGTGCCATTCGTTAATTTAGACTCTTTTCTAGTAATTTAGCTCCCGTCTTCATTAGCCCAGTTTAGGAGCAGAACAGTAGGACGTTAAACCCCATTTCATTTCATTTCATTTCAGTAATTTAGCTAGTAAAGGTTTCCACTAGGATATATTGTTTACACCGCGGAGGAAAAGTTAACACCACGAAGGGGTAAATTACTAGAAAATTATAAATTAACGAGTGGAACCAATAGGCCATTGTGTCAAGGCAGCAGAGGCCACACAAGAGGTTGCTTGTCGGCGATAAAATGTATTAATCTGTCTGGCCAAGGATGCCACTCACATCCGCAACATATCTGGGCTTATGGAGCTGCCTACGGTCAAATTTCGCATATTCTATAATTTGAGATTTCCCATAGTACGATAGATTTAATACATGGTTATATACTTACCGTATAAGTTATTTTTTCATCTCGCTCTGGCTCCTCGTTTATTGAAGATGTGGTCGGAAAATTTCGTTCGGTCGGTGTTGATGCATTTGTTTCTGTCATCTCAATGGCGACGTTGTCGTGTGCTAGATTTGCTGCCTGCAAGAAGAAAAATAACGGATGTATTAATTAATTTGTTGGATACAATCACTGCATGCTATTCAATACATATTTTCTGTTGAACGCCTTCGATTAGACATACACAATAATTGCGTTCTACACAAATCACAGATGTAGAACAAGGAATCAAAGAATGAGTTCAAAGAACGGGTATTTACAATTAATAAGGTTAGGTTTAATTAATAACACACTGATTTTGACAACTAAATCTATGTCTGTTTTATTTAGTTTTTAAGTTTAGAAAGATCAAGTTTATATATTGGACGTTATCTTTAAAGGAAGTATATCGCTAATATACCTAGAAATTGATTTAAATGGATCGCAACCCATATGATAATATATCATCAATATTTACATTCAATCGTTTCTGTTTTACTGTAATTTCTAATCAGTTATGTTCGGCGAAATACGCCAGAAGTCTCAATCGAATGGCGATCTCTGGCGTCTGGTTATTCCAGTCTACACCGATATTATTTCTTGCGCATGCTCTCCAGATAAGAATATGACGTCACCGTTTGACATGACTTGTGGAATTTGTCTAGCGTCGGTTTTCGAGTCCCTTGTTACAAATTGCGCTGAAACGCATTTTCAATGTCGAAGACTTTGGATGATACTGAGTTAGAGACTTAACTACTTTAACGATACATCATGTTATAGTTTTGAAAGTTGCATTCATTACTGTTATGGTTAGTTCATTTAATGTTTCTGTATTTATTTTATGGAAAACTATAGACCTGGTGCCGTTTTGTGCAACCACTGATCACTGCGACTTTCCGCGCGAACAGAAATACAAAAGATGAAACCGATGAATTGACAATTTGATTATTGACTAATAAAAATCATTCTCGCAAACTGTTCAAAAATATTCGGCCGCGTTCACGGTCAATACAAACGACTTCATTCAAATAGCTAGATAATCAGTCAAATGGGACGACCGCTTACAGCAACCCGAACGCCTGACATTCACTTGGACTACAACAGATTGCCCCGAATAGTGGCAAATCGAGTATTGTAGCGATTCAGTTAAGAAGGATAAGCCAAAGTCTTTACGAATACACTACGATCTCCACGAATTATGCCGATAAAGCTAGGAAAAGTTTACGATAATTCGGCACTGTTCGGGGCAATTCGGCATATTCTTGGGTCCCTAAACGCCATAAAAAAACACCGGTCGCTGCCGAACCCGTAGATCGTCGTACTCCTGGCAGATGTTGTCACTTGAGCTCCGGAAACTGTTATGTCGGGAACGGATCAGTACCGCTTATTTTGGCCCGTCGCGAATCCGAATTTTTTTTCCCGATTCGTAGATAAATCGTAAATGGTTCTCAAAGTTCGTAAATGATTCATTGATTTAAATAAAAAAAAAGGATAATCAAAACATTGTTTACTATCTTAACAACGGTAGCAATGAAATCGAGGCTACAGTGCTCTTCAAATGGCAAATACTCGTCTCAGAGTGTAGTAATTTTCAACATATTCCATTTTCATTATCTGTTTTTGACTATTATAACGAGAACTGTCAGCTCTTTATCAAATCTTGCATAATGCTCCTTTAAACAATTTTCTTGTCTTTATAATAGGTCAAGGGGAAGTAATTTATTCACCTCAACGAATAACTAAGGTTAATCAGGTGTTCGCTTGTCAATCAAACGACGGACGTTTTGGATGCCTCGAGGTTATTTTTAGACCTCATCTAGCTATTTTTATCATTTATTTAGAATAATCTAGCCAACACATGTACATAACCCACCGACGCTTTTGTCGAAGCGGAAAGGAATTTAGCGGCAGACGATGAGATATACATACATGTTATCACAGCACCCCAACAAGACCGTAATATACTTCATTAGCCTCCATTCTTATTATATAAACATTTCAAATTGTCATTTTACACTCTTAAAAGAAAAAAACCCAAACATCTGTCGAATTTTGTGGATAAGTTTCGTAATATTTATTACCACTTTAACATGTGACTTTGAATACCAAGAAATTTCAATTGGAAGCTCGACCTCCAACATTTCAAACTGTCATTTTACGTAAATTTAAAATACTAGGGAATTTACTTAGCTAGATAGAACAGTTTCAAGGGAATTTCAATTCAATCAAGTTGTCATTTTACGTAAAGTTGAGAAAAAAAATATCTGGCGCAACTCTTGGATAATATTCGTAATAAATTCTTTCTTAGAATACTAGGGAATTTACTTGGCTTAAATAGAACAGATGCAAGGAAATTTCAATTCTAAGCTACAACTGGGAGTATAGCGTATAACTAGCTAGCCGAATTGGAAACAAATCTTTCGATACAAATTCCTTGAAAAATTGATATGTACCGTCAAGTCGGAATTAATCCAGTCCGATGTAAATGTTAAATATCTCCTTCCTATGCTGAAGTCTCAGTTAAACAGTTATTCATTATTTATTAACTTTTCAATTTATTCCTATACATGGCGTATAGCATAGGTAGGGGGATCACGGTGGCTGAGTGGGTAAGACACTGGCTCGCTAGCCTGGAGGTAGTTCGATCCCTGCATTGGCCGAGAAAGTTGGGAGCAGAACAGTAGGACGTTAAACCCCATTTCATTTCATTTCTTAGCATATGTAAGTGAATAATATGTAAACTGGTTTCCCCTTGTCGGACGGAGGGCTTTACAACCTCGTGAGTTTTCTCCGGGACCTCCGGTTTCCTCCCACTGCTAAAGACCCCTATGTGCAAGCGAATTATTGAAATAAAATTAAACCATATGTTAGTCCCGAAATGACCTACTCTATCTCTCTCCCTCTCTCTCCCTCACACACACATTTAAGCGTACACATAAAAAAATTAAAGTAGACCGTAGTGCCGATGTCTGACGTATGCACCCGGTCGGTACAGTAGACGAAGGACATTAAAACCCTTTTCATTCAATTCAACGAACATATTATAATTCCACATATTTATTTGTTTCATACTTAAATATTATAATTAACCTATCTAACATTCCGCACATCATGTATTTATTTATATCCGCTTATATCCATCAACACGCAATACTATAATTTAAAGTAGCTAAGTCTCTAACTCAATATCATCCAAAATCTTCGACATTGAAAACACGAATTACTTGACAATTTAAATCAACATTGATCATGTGATCTTACCAGGAAAAGATGGGCTTCTGATATCCAATATTTAAAACTAAATAAAAATTGTACCATTGGTACACGAATCGTGTACCATAATGCCTTTCAGCGCCATTTCTAACAAGGAACTCGAAGAACGAGGCTAGATATATTCCACAAGACATGTCAAATGGTGATGTCATATTCTTATCTGGACACAGATCACCAAATATTTCTACGCCGCGCCGTCACCCACGAAACAAGGGCCAAAGTTATTTTTAGTCTCTCTCTCCCTTTCCCTTTTTTCCCCTTTTGCATGGCGATTTTTATTGACTTTTTGGTGTAGAATCGAAAAACAGGGTTTGAAAATACATTTTCTGCCAGGTTTTGGTGAATATTCATGATTTTGAGGCGGAAGGATACAAGAGTTGTGAGGTTGGTTACGTTGAAATGTAGGGCCGGATATTGCATGTTTACTTGTCTCTACTTCCAGCTTGTGTATCTCAAGTTTTTCATGATGAAACTCATACATGCTTTCGGGCAAGAGTTTGCCACATGTTGCTCCATCTGTGGCAGAAAGCGTTCTACCCAACGAAAATTTGGGAAAAAGTTAGAGCCGGTCTAAGAGACGAGAATTAACATTAAAGTCAATGGGGAAATAATTAGTGATCTGTGGCCATCTGGAGAGCATGCGCAATAAATACTATCGGTGTAGACTGGAGTAACCAGACGCCAGAGGTTGCCATTCGGTTGAGCATTCTGGCGTATTTTGCCGAACATAACTGATTTGAAATTAGAGTAAAAACGGAAACGATTGAATGTAAATCAGTTTATATACATTCATTATTATTATATGCGTTGCGACCCATTTGTATCAATTTCTAGGTCCCAAATATTAGCGATTTAGCTCCTTTAACATTTAATGTAAAACTAATATTACACTATAGAATTGATAGGGTTTAAAATCTCTTTTCCGTATTCTTATAGAATAATATAATATGCTTATTTGGCAATACAATATAAAATCTACATCTGTTTCTATTTTTTTTCCTTTTATAAGACTAAAATCGATTTGTTTTATGAATCTCTGGTGGCCTTATTTTGCCATTTAGGATAGACGAAGTCCTTGAAGGACAAATATAATGCTTTTACATTTATAGAAAGTGACAGTTCTTTCAAATCTTTATCTAAAATTACTTTTACAAAAGCACAGTTATTTTGACTAATGATTTCAGTTCTCCTTAACTCAGAATACAAGACGCATCAATGTAAAGTTATGGAATGATATAAATTAAATTTCTGTTAATAAAAAAATATCATCCAATTTTGCGATTTAAAGAAGGCGCACATTTCCTTAAAATCCTTTAAATACTAACTTCTATTTTTCCATATAATACATACACAAAAAAGAATTGACAATTCTCGCTATAATAGATAAAAGACATAAATAACGTAAATAGAATATGCTGAAAATTTCAGTCAAATTGCTCCACTTTGAACCGAGATATTAATTTTTTTAATTTTAGGCTAGCCTCAATCATCATTATTAAAGCTGGTACGATAAAAATCAAAGTCTCGATTATCCATTTTTACGTTTAATTATTTTTCAAAAAATGTATTCCAATCCTCTAAATATCGTAGGCTAACGTCTAATTAATAATTTAGATAAAATTTCAGACCTCAAGAAAGACCTGCAATAGGCAGATTTAGCTCTTGCATAATTTATGTTTAAGTACTATGCATAGACAAATTCGTTGTATTTTTAAGTATTATACATAGACAAATGCATTGTATCTTTTAAGTATTATACATGGATTGAAATGAAATGAGTTTAACGTCCTACTCTTCTACACCGATTGGACTAGTATTACACATA